ACTTATTAAAAAGAAAAATTGAATTTAAAAAATTTTTTAATATTATAATAATATTAAAGTATATTAAATACAAAATAAATATTTATCTCACCTAATTTTTCTTTCAAGAAAACAAAAAAAGAAAACCTAAAGTTATAAAAAAGCTTTATTTCATTATTACAGCATTAACAAAGATAAAACTTCAGGGGTAAGTGTTTTTCCATTTTCAACCTTGTATTTTTCGAAACAAATGTTTGATATTACAGGATTACTTCTAATCAAGAGGTATTGTTACTGGTTTTACATAACATTCTTTTTTGATATCTTGGCTGTATGGTTTAATCTAGCTTTGCGAATTTCCTTATTTAGAGCCTCTTGTGACTCTTCAGAGTAGTAACCAATAGGCAGTTTTAATGCCTCAGATATCTGCACACCATGTTCCAAGAGTTTATGAACAGTTAGAGGAATCATATACCAGCAATAGTTTTTGAGTATAAGAGCTGTAGTTTCATAGCAATACTGGCCAAAACTTTTTTTCCTGTTATGAGCTAAACTTGAGTTTAGCTCGTAGCAGGAGCATACTGATATTAGGATTGTCCTTAATCTAATAATTACATCTACTGACACTCCTGTTATATCAGCGAAAGTTTCAGCATTTTCAAATACCCTTCTATCAGTGTTTCCATTGTTAGTGTTGCCAAAACCCTGTTTAGGCATATCAACTATAAGACTTAGCTCCTCTCTAAACCTCAGTTGAATGTTCTTTTTTCTACTATTCACTGATGCTTTTTCAGCGGGGGATTTGGCAAAGTATTTTTTAGTGTTTAACTTATATCCTAAATGTAAAATATATTCAAAAGATCTGAGCCAACAATGCAGAGTAGAAAGACCTAAAGATAAAGTGCTTAGCTCAGCAAAAGATAAAACTTTTTCATTGATTGGTTTGCCTTCCTCTACTTCTAACTTTACTTCAAACTTGACTAGTCTATTTATTTCTGCTTTTAAAAGTTCATACTCATTTCTTATCAGTTCTTCCGTTTCTTTTTGATATTGGAGATGTAATATGTACTGGACTACAGTAATATGTACTGGAAGGCTTCTTATTTAACCATATACTTTTGTTCGTGATGGTTAATTTAAGTGGAACAATAGCTGTCTGGAAAAGACTTTGCTCGTTAACTTGGGCCTCACCAATATTTGTATCAGTATATTTTTGTTTATAGACACTTTGACTGGAGGCACCATCAAAGCCACCTTTAAAGTGAAGTACACCTTTAAACTTCCCCCCAATTTCTGCAAACATTCTCATAGAGTCTTGGCTTTCCGTAAAAGTTAATATTCTTGTCAGAGTATGATTAAACATATCTGTAGAGGAGTTGAAGCAGATGTTTCTGTCACAATTAAACCCTCAGGATAACACTTGTGTCTCTCATTCTTAATTTCGTGAAGTGAAGGATAAATATCTGCATTATGTATTATTGATGAATTTCTAATAATTTGATACTGCTCATCAGAAAGGTCACACTGAACTTTTAAGCTCAAGGCATCTTCGGTTTTCATTTTTATCGAAAAATTTATCTCCGTGATATTAACTTTTTCAGAGTTTGTTGCACTTTTCATGAGAACAACGAAATCTTTTTTGATAGGATCTCTAGTGGCTTTTTTAATTGAATAAATACATTAGAAAATTCATAATTTTTAATTTTTTTTTCATATATATTTTGGGCAAAAACAGTTGATTTTAGGCCAAAAACAGGCTAAAATCTTGGCAAAGATATCTCAAAAAGTATAATTTATTAAGTTCTAATTTTTTGTATTTTTATTTGTTTTATGTAGATAAATGTCCTGAGATAAAAATTTATGTTGAAAATTTCTTTATTTTAAAGCATCGTTAGATTTTTTAAAGCGCCCAATTAATAATCGCATTTCTGATATTAAGAACAAAAAGTTTGTTGTTTTAAAAGTTTATGTTCTAAATTTTTTTTATCTCAGGACATAAAGCTTATTATAATGAATCTCTGTACAAAATTTTAAGTTAATTGGACAATTACAGCTCCTGCAATCTTTGCCAGAAAATTAGAAGAATCAAACAGAGAAAAAAGTATATAAAATTCAAAATATTGAATAAACAAACTTATTAAAATCCCCTTTTTTTATATACTGCTCTTTTTAATTTTTGTATTTTTTATCGAACCCTTTCCTAGTTGCTTTAAGATTTTTTCTTTGTTTTTTAATTTTTTTTTATTACTAACCTTAACTAGCGGTTGCTATGAGCGTTGCTAGGGGAAACAAAATTACCCTACTAATATAAATCACTTTTATTAGTTCTAATTTTTTTTTTCTCATACGAAGATTTATCTATTTTTAGACTCTACATCAGTTACTGTTTAAAACAATGCCACTTTTGAAAAATCGTTTTTTTCTAACTTTATTAGCAGTCTACCACCTTAAACATATGACTTCAAATTAAATTTTGAACTGTTTTTACCTATATCAATCTTAAAAGAGTGACACTAAAGCGAGACTTTTTTGAATGAGTTTTCAGATAAATAAAATAAAATAAATAAGTCTCGGAAAAAGACGTATAAATTAGTGAAATCTTAAAAAATATTACAAAAAAAAAATTATTTATTGTCTTTTAGTGGTATTTAGTGACATAAACTAATTATTTATTTTCTAGCAAAAGTTTTTTGCCGTTTTTTATGGATTTTGACTCACTGTGCGACGTCGCATTTGTAACTATAATGATATAAAAACAACGTTGGCATGCGATGTTGAAACAACGAAACGCACAACATTGTTCTTATGTTTGAACAACGTATGTGTGCTAGCTGGGTCGTCATTAAACAGAAAGTTATTGTTTTCTAAAATAAAAGATACTGATTCTAAAATGAATTCTTGAGTAAATCTTTCATCTATTATATCTTTATGTTTTGTAATCCAAAACTTTAAAGCTTCAAATCCTAATTTGTGTGGAATACTAGAATTGAAGTTAACAACGTCACGTGTCAAAATACATTTTTCTCTCTCTAAATCTCTTGGTATCTTTCTTAAAAAATCCCAATCATCTTTAATGAAAGTTTTTTATTTTATAGCAAAAGGAGATAAAATTATGGGTAAAAACTAAGGTGTGATGTGAGATAAAAAAAGGTAAAATATGAGATAAAATTATGTGTAAAGACTAAGGTGTGATGTGAGAAAAAGTTATGTGTAAAGACTAAGGTGTGATGTTGGCGAGTTAATTCCTGCAATAATTGCTCTACCCTTGAGGTCTTCTGGTGCTTACATTTCTATATATAGAAAGTTTGATTAGTTAACTTTATAAATAATTTCATGACATTCATGAATTTTTGGAGTAATATAAAGATTGCTTGACTTTTATTTCAAATTTGTGATGTAATTTATTTTATTTTTAGTTAGACAATTGTATTTTCTAATTATTTTAGTAAGTTCTCTAAAGATAATTTTATCTGATTCAAGATTTACCTTTTC